TCATTCTAACACTAAAAAAGGGCCAAAGAACTTGGGAGCAAGTTTCTTGTTCTCTCTTCATGCTAGAGATGTTCGCCTAAAGGGTTGTAGATGAAGATAAACAAGGTCTCCAACATCCAATGTTTGTTCCGTGTGCTTTGCATCTATAACTTGCTTCATCCTATGTTGAGATTTTTGCAAAATTTTCTTCAGCAGTCGAATGATTATGTCTAGATCCCGCAGGCTAGTTTCTATTATCGCCACATTGGATTTCTCTTGCACATATGGGGAGCAACTAGGGGGTGGGGTTCCATAGATAGTTTAAAAAGGAGTAATCTTGGTGGAAGTATGGAAATTTGTATTGAACCACCATTTGACTATAGGTAACTACTTGGTCCAATCCTTGGGATGATCTTTTGTCATGCAACAGAGGTACTACTCCAAACAACGATTCACGACCTCCGTTTGGCCATCAATTTTTGGTTGATAAGCAATACTTATATGTAGTTGGGTGCTATATATTTTGAATAAACCTTGCCAGAAGTTGCTGGTGAATATAGGATCACGATCACTAACAATGGTGCTTGGGAGGCCATGCAACTTGAATACATTATCCATGAAGACTCGAGCAACTTCTAAGGTAGTATATGGATGATGAAGTGCAATATAATAAGAGTATTTACTGAACTGATCGACCACCACAAAAATAACATCCTTCCCATGTGAGCGAGGAAGACCCCGATAAAATCCATAGAGATGTCATTCCAGGGGCGCTCCAGAATTGGAAGTGGTTGTAAAAGCCCAAGAATGACTATATTTTCTGATTTGTTATGTTTGCAGACATCTCACTTGGCCATATGTCTACGCACATCAATCTAGAGAACTACACCAATAATAGTGTATTTTGATCCTATGAATGGTCTTTTGAACATCACAATGTCCCCCATAAGACCCATCATGAGCTTCTTGAATAATTAATGGAATTAATCTTGAACTCGGCCCAAGCCAAAGTCACGCTTTGTATAGGAACTTGTCATGTTGCCTCTGGAAATTAGGCCGAGACATCGGATCAGCTTACATTGCCTAGCTAATATTCTGAATTTCAGGATCAACTTTCCACCCAATGAGCCACTTGAACTTCCAAAGCCATTAAATGGACAACATATGCATACTGCCTAAAGAGCGCATCTACCACCTTATTGTCGCACCCACTCCACTAGGAGATCTCAAAGTCATACTCCAATAATTTAGTTAGCCACTTGTGTTGCATTGGGGGGGTTATGCGCTGCTCAAGAAAATACTTCAAGCTGAAATGATTAGTAATTATTTTAAAGTGCTGACCAATGAGATACAGTCTCCATTTTTTTATTGCAAAGATCACAACTAGCATCTCCTTTTCATATATAGAAAGGCCCAAGGTTTGATCAGATAAAGCCTTGATTGCGAATGCTATTGCCCTTCCTTCCTACATCAATACTGCCCCCAAGCCTATTCTAGATGCATCACATTCAACGATAAAGGTCTTAGAAAAATCTGGCATTGCTAATACTGGAGTTGTTTACATGGACACCTTGAGTCTTTGAAATGCTTCATATGCTTCTTGAGACCATAGAAATTTGTCCTTCCTTAACAAGTTAGTGATCGGCTTGATAATCTTTCCATAGTCTTTGAAAAAACATCGATAATAGCCAGTGAGCCCTAAGAACCCGCAGAGAGCTTTGAGACTTCTTGGTTGAGGCCACGTCACCATGCTCACGATCTTATTAGGATCAGTTGCTACTCCAGCATTGGAAATGATGTGGCCAAAGTATTCAAGCTCCTTTTGACCAAATAAGCACTTGTATCTTTTAGCATATAGTTGGTTTTAGAGTAATATCCCCAAGGTCCAAGTGATGAAATACCTCATTCATCATGCTTTGAAATGTCGATGGGACATTGGTTAATATAAAGGGTATAACCAAAAATTCATAGTGTCCTTCATGAGTTCTAAATGTTGTCTTGTGTACATTGTCGAGATGAACTCGAATTTGATGATAACTAGTACGTAAGTACAATTTTGAGAAAAAAATGTGCTCTACGAAGTTCATCTAAGAGTTCATTGATGACAAGTATAAGAAATTTGTCCTTGATGGTTTTTCAATTTAGTGCTCTACAGTCTACACATATCCTCCACATGGCATCCTTCTTTTTCACTAGAAAAATTGGAGAGGAAATGGACTCACACTTGGCCTTATGGTGCCAACTTCCAGTAATTCTTTCACAATCTTTTCTATCTCGTTCTTTTGAACATAAGAGTAGCAATAAGTTTCACATTGACCGCAAAACAACCAATTTTGAGTGAATCATTTGATCTTATGGCCTATGAGGCGGTAGTCTATGTGGTTCCACCAAAACCATGTCAAACTGAACCAATAACTCAGATAATCTAGGTTCAGATTATGTCATATTGCTGAAAGAATTTTGTTTGAGTAACGCCTAAGGGAGAATAAATGGGTCATATGCCTTTTTCCATTATAGTTGAATTCCATCTTTAAATTTTGGAAGTCCTAAATGATATGCCCGAGTTTGGCAAGCCATTGAACACCTAGGNTTTTGTTTGAGTAACGCCTAAGGGAGAATAAATGGGTCATATGCCTTTTTCCATTATAGTTGAATTCCATCTTCAAATTTTGGAAGTCCTAAATGATATGCCCGAGTTTGGCAAGCCATTGAACACCTAGGACCATGTCACACCCGCCCAAGGGTAATAATTGCATGTTTGCTTTGAACAAGGTTCCTTGCATTGATGAACAATGCATCTAGTTTGTTTCGCCACATCCAGATCAAGGAAGTTATGGGTGCTTCCTAAGTTAATCAAGATCATAACTGGCTTTCATTTCATGAACCCTTTCACTCACATTGTTTGGTATGACACTAAGCCAACAAATGCATGGACTAAAATTATTGGTTCATCAGTTGGTTAGGTTGGTGCATGGATGACGCCTTCAATGGGTTCAACAATGGCATCTTCAAAGTGTTCCTCTTCTTCTTCAAACTCCTCAGCTTCGAAGAGGTATAATTGTTGTTTCTTACATCTATAGCCTTGGTAATTTTTTTCATCGCAAAGATAGTACAGGCCTTTTGCATGTTGTTGCTCCATTTCTGCTATTGACACTTTTTCTGATGGGTGGCAAAGTATGTTTTGATTGTGATCTAGGAAACCCTTTAGGAACTGTTGTAGGAGTCAAGGAAGCCCGAACCAAACAAATAAATTCATCCATAGTTTCTTCTTGTAACTGGGCTAAACCTATTGCACGAGAAAGAGTGGATGGCTAAAATGTCACAACCCCATTTTGAATTTCCTCGCTTAGGCCACCAACAAAGCATTACACAAAGAATTCCTCCGTTAAGCCACGAGTTCTTGTCATCAAAGCTTCAAACTGCTCATGGTGTTGCCTCACATTACTCATTTGCCTTAGTTTCGTTAATTGAACAATGGCATTATCATAGGGCCCTAGATTGAAACATAAACACAAATCCTTTGTGAAAACCTTCCATGTGACATGAGACTTGGTAGTCTCATAGCCTTAAAACCAATCAACTGCTGGTCCTTCAAGGTGAATCGATGCTACAGAGACTTTGTCCTCCTCTGCTACACTGTTATACTAGAAGAATTTATTGCAACAACACACATAAACGTTGGGATTTTCACCATTGAAATGAGGAAAATCCAAACGAGCGTATTTAGTTTGAATAGCTTTGTAAGTAGAATTTTGTTGTCTTTCAGGTTGAGTTATAGAAACACGGGATAACTCCCTTGACTCACTAGTTAGCAGAAGTTGGGTGGTAACTGTTTATACCGAATATTCATTGCAGTAACTAGTTGGTTTAGGTCCTTCATGTTCGTGGTGTGGCGATCAACAAGGTGCTTTATATCCTCAATTTGGTGATCAAAATTTTTTTCTTAGAAAGTGGATATTTGTCCTCCATACGCTTAACGTCTTGCCCTAGTTCCTTTCGCCATTATCATTGGTATAGGGCAGGAACGGTGCCCTAACACCCCTGATAAGACCAGGAAAAAGAATACAAGAATAAAAGATAAGACCAGGAAAAAGAATACAAGAATAAAAGAAAATAAGTAAAATTCCCTCTTCTAGGGGCAAGCCCTCAAAAATAGCAATTTAAAGATAATTGATTTTTTTTGTGGTCTCATTCTTCTTTGGAGACTAATAAATACAATCAAGATAGCATTATTAGCTAATAATCAACCCTCATAATCAACATCAAATCCTAATTTCTAGTAATACTTAACTCATCAGATTTCTTCTAACAATCATGCCAATCAAAATTTATTAATTTCTAAAATCTTGGTAACCTTTCTCTATTGCCTAGTCTTCTATTTAGCTCCAAGATTTACTCCATTGATGCATAACAATCACACCTTTAGTTGCATGATCATTTTCTTTGGTGCTTAATGCATACTCTCTCTCTCAAGCCAAATGATTCTTCGACTTTGGAATTGATTTTCCCCATTCTGCTGGTGTCAGGCCATTTTATGTGGTGTTTTGCACATTCTTCTAATACCTCAAAAAGTCTCCCAGTTACTTGAGAAACTATTGACAATGAGCAATGTTATTGACTTAATTTACTGACTTAATTGACTATAATTTTTAAATTGAATGTAGATCCCATCAAATATTGAAACTTAGTATTGATCCAATAGTTATAATAAAGTTGCATCATTAAATCAGCAAATGAAGTCCGAATTTTAAGTTCAAATAACATTTCCCATCGACAATAGTAGAATTGAGTGGTTCGGGTTAACATTCGGGTCGGATTCAAACAGGTTAAAAATTCTATACCTGGGTTGGGTTGGGCCTGAGTTGATTCATCCAACCCACTTCCACCAAACAATTTGGCATTAGCAAATAGCGGAACTATGAATGTTTTCTTTCTGTTCGTCGAGTCCAATAACGCAAACACTTCGCAAATCGACCAACGAACTGAGTCTGCGAATTTCGGCCAGTGTACCTATTTAATCAATGTCGTCAGTGTACGTATCGGAGCCTCCGACGAAGGGTAAAGTGATAGTGAACACGACGCACGGACCGTTGGACATAGAGCTGTGGCCAAAAGAGGCACCAAAGGCCGTCAGGAACTTCGTGCAGCTTTGTCTCGAGGGTTACTATGACCATACCATTTTCCATCGCATTATCAAAGATTTTATGGTTCAAGGTGGTGATCCCACCGGTACCGGCCAAGGTATTCTCGAATCTCTATGTATACAGTATCCGTAAGTGTAGGAATTTAATCACTTGTTTTTAATGAATATCGGAATTTACTATCAACTGCCTTGAGTAATCATATTTTGTTGCAATGAGGTTTCTAATTATTTTGATTATCTTCCAATGGTACGCTGGAATTTGTGGTTCGAAGTTGTCTTATGTTGTCAGCTGCTTTCTATCCTACGGTAAGTTTTTTTTTTTGGGGGAGGGGGGAGGGGGTGTGGATTTGTGTGTGTATATATGTATGTATAAGTGTATTACACTTTATTGATAGGTGCTATAATCTTCCCCAAATTAGATCATTCTACTGAAACTAGGTTTCTCTTAGTGGGTAATTTTCTTTCTGAAATTAGTAAGACAAAGCTGTGGAATTGTTTTCTCCGTATTTCTTTCTACTTACAATTCTCCTTTCTTTGACCTAGAAGTCGAACAGCAAAATAATTGAACTATCACATTCTGCTGTAATTAGTTCCTTTTATTGGGTTTTAATGTAGTTTGCAGTAGNCAGTTGTTGGGTTGGCTTACGAGCCTTATACTTGAGGACGAGGTGAGGCCAGAGACGGGCCTACCTCGGGTAGTTTGTGAGTATGCAGGTGTTTTTTCGGACGAGTTATCGGGATTACCTCCACATTGGGATGTGAACTTCACCATTGAGCTATAACCCGGTGCATCCCCTATTTCTATGACTTCGCAAAGAATGACACCTGTAGAGCTGCAAGAACTCAAGGTCCAGTTGTAAGAATTATTGGATAAGGGTTTTATTAGATTGAGTACCTCACTTTGGGGTGCTCCGGTATTATTTGTCAAAAAGAAGGATAAGACCTTTTGGCTATGTACTGACTACTGGCAGTTCAACTGGGTTATCATCAAGAATAGGAACTCTTTGCCGCGGATTGATGACTTGTTTGATCAACTGAAAGGGGCACGGGTCTACTCCAAGATAGATCTGCACACGGGTCACCATCAGTTGAGGATTATGGAGGCAGATATCCTTAAGACGGTGTTTAGGACGCGGTATGGGCATTTCGAGTTCACAGAGTTATGCTTTTTGGATTGACGAATGCCCGACGTCATTCATGGATCTCATGTATAGGGTGTTCTAATCGTACCTAGATTAGTTTGTCGTGGTCTTTGTTGATGACATCTTGATCTACTCTAAGTCCGAGGAGGAACACGAGGGTTATTTGAGGATTGTTCTCCAGACCTTGAGAGATCATTAGTTGTACGCTAAGTTCAGCAAATGTGAATTTTGGCTGACGAAAGTAAAATTTGTGGGACACGTGGTGCTGGTTTCGGGTGTGTTAGTTGACGTAGAGAAAGTTGAGGCGGTTATGAGTTGGGAGAAGCCGAAGTCAGTCTCCTAGATACGTAGTTTCTTGGGATTGACAAGATACTACAAGAGGTTTATTAAAGACTTCTCCCAACTAGCTGCACCTATGACTAGATTGACCCAGAAGGAGGTCAAATTTTAATGGGATGACTCATGTGAGAAGGCATTCTAAGAGTTGAAGAGGAGGCTTACTTCAGCTCCTATTATAATAATTTTAGAGAGGGGACGGTATATTTTGATGTCTCCAAGGATAGATTTGGGTGTGTTTTGATGCAGTCCGGGAGGGTGGTAGCTTATGGTTTTCAGTAGTTAAAGAGCCACGAGCAGAACTACTCTACGCATGACATAGAGTTGGCGATCGTCGTCTTTGCCTTGAAGGCATGGTGCCATTATTTGAATGAAGAGCAGTTTAAGGTGTTTTCAGACCACAAGAGTCTGAAGGAAATCTTCGCTCAGCGGGACCTAAATACTAGGCAACACAGGTGGAAGGAGTATTTGGAGGACTATGACTTTACTTTGCATTACCATCCTGATAAGGCAAATGTGGTAGCTGATGCACTCAGTCAGAAGTTACAGGGAGTCTTGGCTAGTGTAGCTTCTTGGGAATGGCAGATACTCGAGACCGCGAGATAGTTTGGGCTGTATTACAAAGGTTAGGCTCAAGACACTTTGGGGAGTTTGGTGGCTGCGCCTTCCCTATTGCGTAGAGTGATTGAATCCTAGGTACAGGACACAGAAATATTGTTCATTAGGGACTAGGTACAGTCGAGTACAGGTGATGAGGGTTGGGGCATTCACGCAGATGGTAGTTTTCGGTTCAGGGGAAAGGTTGTGGTATCTGAAAGAGATGATTATTAGAGAGTTTCATTGCTCCCGTTTTGCTGTGCATCCAGGTGGCATGAAGATGTACCATGATCTTCGTCGTCAGTACTATTGGAGTGGGATAAAGGGGTACATTGGATATTTTGTTAGTCGATGTCTCACGTGTCAGTCGGTCAAGGTTGAGGACCAGAGACTAACAGGGTTGCTTCAACCTTTGGAGGTGGTTGAGAGGAAGTGGAAGCACGTCACGATAGATTTTCTGACCTACTTGCCACGAACATCGTGGGGATATGACGCAGTATTGGTTATTGTGGACCGGTTTACAAAGTTGGCACATTTTTTAGTAGTGCGGATGACCTCCACACTGGAGAAATTTTGCAGGCTATATGTACGGGAGATAGTTCAGCTACATGGGATGCCCGTATCTATAGTATCGGATTGAGATCCCAGGTTCATGGCCTATTTTTGGGAGAATTTTCAGCGGTTATGGGGACATAGTTGATGATGAGTATAACTTTTCAGTCGCTTATCGGTTGGCATTATCGCCAAATTTATGTGTTCACGCAGTGTTCCATGTCTCCATGATCCTTATGTACACTCCAAATCTGACACATGTGGTGGATTAGAGCGAGTTGGTTGTTGATGCGGATGAGATCTTCGAGGAGGGACTGATGCGTATTATGGATAGTCGAGAGCAAGTTTTACGGGGTCAGATCGGGAGGCTGGTAAAGGTGCTGTGACAACATCGTGGTGTGAAAGAGGCGACATGGAAGTGTGAGGATACTATACGTGCCTGTTATCCGTTCTTATTTGAGGATGGAGGTACATTCTTGTGGTCATAAGTGTTTTGTAACTTGTTGCATATGCATGCAGTTGAATGTGTATATGTGTGTAAATGTCAGGGACAAAATTTATTTTAAAGGGGAAATAATGTAAAATTCGAAAAAATTTGAATTTTTATAAAAAAGGACAAAACGGTAATTAGTTGATACAATATGAGTTGAAATCCCAAATTTTTCTAAAACTCGACTGACGAAATGGATCTCACCATTAGATTTGTCTCGCAAAATTTAATTACCTAGCCAATTTTTGTTGAATTATGAGATAGTCATATTTTTTGTATTTTACGTTGCGATTGGGTGTCACGTGACTAAAATAAACGCGATCGAATTTTGATTGCGAAATTATAACAAATAATTTAAAGTTAGTTCAAATAAAATATATTGAACCAAAAATGCGATGAGATTTAATTGATTCGGGGGGATAAATCGGATCAGAAAAAGACGGGACGTGTGGTGCGTTGTGAGCCAAGCATCCAAGGGATATAAAAAAAGGGAAAAATCAAATTTTTTTCCCAATTTGCTTGCTGAATTTCGATAGAGAGAAAAAGAAAAGAGAAGAGAGAAAATCAAGGGTTTTTTTGTCTTTTTCTTGTAATTTAGGGCCAACTTTTGGTTGGATTGCTTTGGGCCAAGAACTAAAATTTATCTATTCGACGAGAGCTACATCTACGTACCAAAAATTAAAGATTTTGATGAAATCTCAAGGACAGGATTTTTAGAAATCAAATTCTAAAATTTGAGTTAGGTTTTCTTAGAGTTTCTACTACTAGTATTATGCTTCAAGAGGTAGGGTTTTTCTCCTAACCCGCGATTGCGTATGAAATGGGTAGTTTGATTAGAGATGAATTATCTTGTTTGATGTACTCCTAGTGTAGCTAGAGTATGAAAAATAGGTATAGAAATGTGCTAAACCAATTTTGCATGAATTGAGTTTGTAGAATTTGCTTGTTTGGTAAATTCATGAGAATTGTGATAAATCAGACATGATTGTGTGTTACATAATTGTGTGTCTTTGGGTGCTTGATAAAATGCTTATGTTGATGTAGCATGTTTGTTTAATTGAAAATGTGTAACACGCTTGGTGAGAATATGAATTGTAATTATATACTTTTTGATATAATGACAATTTGATAACATGATGATGTTAGAATATAATTATATGCTTGATGATATAAGTTATATTGAGGACAAGGATCAAAATTTCGTTTCAAAGTACCGTTTCGGTCAACTCAAAAATAGAAACGTTTCGGAAACATTTCNCTATAATTGACAATTTGATAACATGATGATGTTAGAATATAATTATATGCTTGATGATATAAGTTATATTGAGGATTTAGAAATTGTTCATATTGTGCTCATGATATGTTGAACATGATGTTGTAATTGCAATTGAAATCTTGGTTGTATAATGATATGAAAATGTAATGGTACATTATATGGCATGTGCACGGGAAGCATCACATTCGTAGGCATGTAACATGGGTGTGGGTGTGTGTATGTTTTTGGATCAAACACCACTCTTGGTGGTTGAGGCATGGACTCGGGAAGGTTGGACCTAGGTTCGACTAAGTTGCACGGGTTGTATGGAAAGTTTGTGTTGGGTATAGCAAGAAGGGCTAGACTCTCCCTCAGGTGCAAGACTCGGTGTGGTTTATACATCTTCGATTGTGAAAGCCAAAAAAAGTGTATTGGTGTACGCAAAATCGGAAGTGGGATACCAAAATCTGTGTCGGTGTGGTGGACCGTTGGTGCAAGTCCAAGAAATCACCAACCCAAGATAAACAAATGGTTTATTTGATGAATTATCATAGGATGTATTGCATCAATGGCTAGGGCTTGAAAAATCCACATTCATACTCATGGTATTGCATGTGTTATGGGAGCCGGTAAAAACTCAGGTTACATTGTATTTGTAAGTCTCACCTCATAACATGGCATAACATTTTGACATTCAATCTTGAAGTTGTATGCTCTTGGATG